TTTGCTGTGCTTGTGGTCAGTAAGATGAGGGCAGAGGGGAGAAGGGAGTTTATTTCTGTAACCAGTTACAGGGAACCAGTCAGCTAGTGCCCTGAACTAGCCTGAAAAGTTCTCTGTACTCATAGTACAAAGTGGGGGCAGGGTCAAACAAACCATTGCTTCCCCTGAGTAATTATCCGGATTCCTGTCCTACTCAAATCCCCACTGCAAGCTTCTTCAAACAGACCTCTCTGCAACTCAGCACGTGGTCCGATCCTCTCATCAGATTGTCCCATCAGAGGCCTTCCTCAATTTCAAAAGAGTCTCAGTTCTGCTAAGCTTCAAAGTGGCCTGCGTCCCTATCACTAAAGGAAAAAGGCAGGGCGAAGGCGGAGGTCTTTCTAGCACCCTACCTTTCATGTACAGAACAGTAAGACTCTGTTACCCCGCAGGAGTGGCCGGGCAGATACAGATCACAGATCGGGAACGAGCCGGAGCACAGGGACTTGGTGGCCGTGCTCTGACATCATCGGATTCAAAATAGCCCCCTGCGGCAGGAAACCTGCAAGGAACAAGAATGAGGAACAAGTTAAAAATGCTAACAGGCCCCAGGAGGTCTAAGCTGCTTATTTTAGACACACAAAGGAGCTAAAGCAGGTTGAAAGGGGACCGGGAGAGGGCGCCCGCCTTCCTCCCTCGCTGGCCGGCTCTTCTGAGGGTCGTCTCTGCCCCCTCAGGAAACTCAGCTCCGCGTGTCTCCTTGTCCTTGAATTCTCTGCTGACGGGGAGACACGCACCCCGAATTTCTCAGCCTGACATCTCTACGTGCTTGTTATGTTTTCAAACAGGAGATGCAGAAAGGCCGAACCAGAAACTAATAAAACTACAGTGGCAGCGTACGGAACTGGGGAACCGGCAAGGAGGCAGGGTGGGGCTGAGACTGGTGAGCATGTAATTTTCTCATTTTTAAAGTATAAAATGTTTTACAAAAACAACCAACCACCAAAAACACACTCTATTACTGATATGAACGTTCAAGTATTTGAGGAGAAATCTGCCAATAGCTGCAGCTCATTTTGAAATGCTTTGAAAAGGAAGATGAGCAGATGGGTCAAGGGCGGTTTAAACGGATGTGACCCTGGGAAGAGTGAGCTGTTAAAGGTGGACTCTAGGTACTGGCTTGCACACGGGTCACCATAACATGTTTTCCAGCGTCACTCTGTTCGAGAATGTTATAATAAAATTAATGGGAAAAATGAGTGACATGGATGAAAGAGCAGACGCAAAAGCAGTCCTGCGTGTCCAGTGGACGGTGCAGCCCTCCGGAGGACGGGAGTGTCCAGGTACATTTGAGCACTGTCCTGCGTCCACCTCCAGTGGGATCGTTGTAAGGACCAACTCAGATAAATTTTGAGCTGTTCTTATTGGCAATTTCTGCTGGCTTCTCAACTAGTGGCCAGAAATCCTGCGTAAACACCAGACCAACAGAATTTTCCCTGAAGTAACCTGTTCAGATATTGTTTCAGAACGTTAATAACCTTATTCAGAAAAATGTACAAAAAACTAATGGGAACTGACGAGAGCATGGACGAGACACTGCAGAGAAGTTTCCGGGTTCACTGCCAGAGCTCCCTGGGCCGGCTGAACCCGGGCGGAGCATGGCCCCCCAACGCTGCTGGAGATGATGTCTCTGTCTCCTGCTCATGGAAGAAATAAGTAACTTAAAAAAATCATGGCCTATAATTCCAGGAAGAGTTCTGTTTGTTTGCTTGCTTTTGTTTTTCCCCCACTACCCACTAGGTGGCAATGCCATCTAAGCTAATTATAAAAAGCCTCATTCATCTAACAGCCTACATTGATCTGTCTCACTATGGAGCAAACTGGAGTTCCTTCCTTTCTGTTTTTTTTTTTTTTGGAGAGGTTTTCGCTCTAGGGTGTGTGTGCTCGCCAGACAGAGAGAAACATAAAGACAGAAAACGAGCAATCACCCCCCAGGGGGGATGGTCACGCTGCAATCCCTTCTCCTCCATTCTCCTCTTGGGATCTTGGGCACACATGCACATGCGCCCGGCGTGAGTTTTAAGCCACCGGGTCCGGGACGCGAACCGCGGTAGACTACATGGGAGTCCAGCGACATAGCCATTACACTAACTGCTGG